GTACCTAATAAAATTCATGTTGTTCTGTTTCATTTCAGGTTCAATATGTCTCCACCGTTATACAGTGATTTGGGTAAAAGTGCAGAGATTTATTCAACCGTGGCTACAATTTTGACACATTTAAATTAGATGTGAAAACCAAGACTCCAGCAGGCGTTGAATTCACCACTGGTGGAGTATCGCATTTCGAGTCCGGCAAAGTTCTTGGCACTTTGGAAACTAAGTACAAATTCAAAGAATATGGTTGGTGAAACTTGTATTTTGTATTTAATATTTGAAGAATGTGTATTTATCTTTTGAAACTTCTAGGTCTCACGTTTTCCGAGAAATGGAATACCAGTAACATTCTAGCCACTGAGGTATCATTACAAGATTTATTCAAAGGTACAAAATTCTCTGCCGAAAGTACATTTGCTCCTCAGACTGGGTTAGTATTTATGTTGTACTCACTTTTTCGACTTAGGTCATTTTGGAATATCACTCCTCAATATTTTACTGATATTACTTGAATCGAATGTTTTCAGTGATAAGTCTTTGAAAGTTAAAGCCGAGTATAAAAATGAAGTCATAGCTGTGAACGGTGATGCAGATTTCAAGACAACCACTCCTGTCCTTAATCTGGCCGGTGTATTCGGTTATCATGGTTGGTGCTAATACCTCCTTTCACATAATATCTACTTCAGTTACGAAATTAAACTCTCTACCATTAATTACAGGTTGCCTTTCCGGTTATCAGCTGAAATTTGATTCCAAGGACTCTAAGTTGAAGAATTATAACTTGGCTTTGTCCTACGCTACTAACGAATTTGTCCTGCATACCAACGTGTAAGTTTCATTAATCACAGTCTTGGTTGAGTTTCACTGTTCTATATTTTCAACTTTCTCCAGTAACGATGGTAAGCAGTTCAACGGATACATTTATCAGAAAGTGAATCCTTTCCTCGAAACCGGTGTTGAGCTCGCTTGGTCGTCCGAGAACAACGACACCAAATTCGGTCTTGGTTGTAAATACGCTTTGGATCGAGACACTTCAGTTCGTGCCAAAGTCAATAATTCTAGCCAAATTGGTTAGGCTTTTCGCAGAAGTTACGCGATGGTGAGTTATGCATCTTCATTTTTCTTTTGAAATTTCTCGCTTCTTGTGTTTTACTTACATTCTTCCTCAGTTTTTATTTAAAAAAAGGTGTCTGAGTTAAAGTAGTTGTTTCTTCACTACTTTGGTTGATATTGAGGCTTTTCCATCAATCTTGATTTAATTGATGGGAAGACAAGAGAGAACATTTGAACAAAAATGAGAGAAGGTCAGGGATCTGGTAAAACCAAAAATTTCATTTTAAGCATTATTTCTAACTACAAAAAAAAGCAAATGGTTGAAGCTCATATCAAGCATACAATGTCCAATTATCCTTACAAATATGTACATTATATACCTTGTGTTAAAGTTGTAACAGTATTGCTGCAGCTCAAGAAAGAAAAAAACTGCCATGAATTTTTTACCCTCCCCCCCCCTCCATAAAATTTTGAATGTCTCTTTTTTGTTTGCAACACCCATCAGTCGAAAAGCACATTTTAAAAATTCTAGTTTGGTAGCTTAAAATTTGCTTATACCTTAGCAAGGGCTAGGTAGGAGCAATAGAACCTTACACTGGCGCAGTAGCGCAGTCTGAACAATCAAAGGTCTGAGAGTGAAACTGTGGATAAATTACTCTGTACAATTGGGTTTAATTGTACCATCTGAAAAGAAGTGAAAATGATCACAGTTCTACTTTTTGTTTTCAGCTATTCACTTTTATTTCTTTATTATTTTATTTGAATAATTATTCAAAACGCGAAAAAATCGACTGCCTTTATCAAGCCTTTGTGTATTTTCAGATGCCTCTGCACTGACCAATGACTTACTTGCCTCGATCCAGTCGTTAAATTTATGTTTGATTTCTTCATTTCAGGTATCACAATTACTCTGTCAACGTTGATCGAGGGAAAGAATTTCAATCAAGGTGGACATAAACTTGGTTTTGGTTTAGAGTTCGATGTTTAATTCCATGATAGTGTCGAGTCATAGCATCAATAACATTCTATTTTTTTTTTTAATTAAAAAAAAGGAAAAATGGTCGCTATTTCTTCCGGTTACAGGACTGTATTCATTGCATTTGTATTAAGTAGACGTTTACTGATAATTCCTGCTTTTTTGTATCCACAATTTTGCCTGAAGTCTTAGCTATTACCGTGTACCTAAGTTATAGTTTCTCATCAATTTCTTCCATTTTCCTCGAATCAGTAATCGAATCGCACGTTTTTTATGATTTTATTGCTTTACTATTCAGTTTCAGTTGTATTTACATGCGCGATCTGTCAGTTCTTTATTCTGATCTATCGTGTCTTTTATGTAAGAATTTTTTTTTCACAGCATCTAATTTAGAAATAAAATAGAAAAGCATGTACCTATTTGAAATATTACAGACTTCATATTAATTTTTTTCCATTTAGTTCCGTTTTGTATTTTTTGTCGAATGTCATGAAATATCCATGAAAAATCATTGATGAAGCCTGAAGATTTCTGTAAGTGCGGAAGAAAGTTTCGAGGTGAGATGATAGAATGACCATCTTTATCGATTACTAGCTGATGAGTTTTGACTTCTGAATTATGGTACCAAAAGGATGATTGAAATTTGGAATTCTTGCTCAAGCTCATTATGTAGAAATCAATTGTAATCCCATCTACAGGTCTCTGATTTAATTTATTCATTATTGACTAAGTGACTTAGCATCAGCAGCAATATCACCAGAAAGTGAAACTGTAATCGAGTGATGAGTCACATTCGAATTTTCTGCTAAATTCAAAGATAGTTCCAGGAAGGTAGAATAGACTTCTTCATCTCCTCTGAAAAAATTTTTATTT